ATAAAAAAAAAAAAAAAAAAAAAAAAATATATAAAAAAAAAAAAAAAAAAAAAAAATGGTGTTAGGGAGATTAAAGATGGCCGTGGACTGAGTGGAAGCTACACTGACACTCCCAGGATCAAACTGGAATTTGATTATATTTGAACAACTAAAATATAGAAAAACCATCCTGAATAATCAACTGCAACTGAAGACGAGCTGGAGAGCACCCTCATAACCCAGGAGGAAAAGTGGAGACCACATAGAGACTGGTAGGAAGTGTGGAGGCATGAGAGGGCTGGCTGGGCCCCCACAGGCAGCAGCTGAAGGCCCAGAGGGATATCTCAGCTGTGGGGGTTCCCAATGAGGACTCTGGGGCCTAAACCCCAGGCTGGGCTTCCCAGCTAAGAGCACCAGAACTGAGAAAGGTGCCGACATAACATCTGGCTGTGAAAAGCAGCCAGGTTTCTGTCTGCCAGGGAGAAACAGCTGGAAATGCAGGCACCCTCTTAAAGAGCCAACACACAAAGTTTCATGTGCAGCCACTCACCTTGGGCACCAACAGAGGGAGGGCAGAGGGGACTGGATCTGTGTGAGGAGAATCTAGGGTTGTGGATGCTGGAGATAGAGCTCAGAGGACACCCCTCTGGATTCCTGTGCCATTCCTCCAAACTGGAGAGGACATGTTTCACAGACAGACATTTATCTTCCAAGCAGCTTTTGCCTGAGGAGGAAGCAATTGGCCCACCCTGCTGGAAAACCTCTCTCCCTACCTGTGGAGTTTGTATAGCCTGAGGCTCATTAAGAGAATCAGATTAATCAGCCTGCAGGCAGAGGCAGACCTCAGAGTGCTTTAAGTCTTTGCCTGATCTGCTTCTGGACCCAGGCCTTGGAAAAGCAGACTCTGATGTGCATCTTGGTCCTGTCCAAACGCACCCAGCCCCAACAGAGGGGATCTCAAGCTGTGGGTTGTTATAGCTCCAAACAGGGTACTCAAGGCCAGTCACAAACAGCGTCTGACATTGGCCTGCACCAGAGGCCCTCCAAAAAGACTGAGAGTCCTAGCAGGCCTACCTAATATATAGAAACAAACCCGAATAGGCAGCCAAAATGGGGAGACAAAAAAGAAAAAAAAAAGCCCCAAAGGAAAGAACAAGAGAAGTCTCCAGAAAAAGAGCTAAATGAAATGGAGAAAGCAATCTCTCAGATATAGAGTTCAGAATACTGATTGTAAAGATGCTCAATAGCATGAAAAAAAGATATGGAAACTATGAAAAATGACCAGTCAGGAATGAAGAAGGACATAGCAGAAATAAAGAATACATTGGAAGAAATAAATAGCAGATTAGAGGAAGCTGAGGATCAAATCAGCGAATTAGAAGAAGGTAGAAAAAAAATCAGAGATCCAAAAAGAAAAAAACAATTAAAAAACAGGAGGACAGTCTAAGGGAGCTGTGGGACAACATGAAACATAACAATATTCGTATCACAGGAATGCCAGGAGAAGTCGAAAGTAAGCAAGGGTTAGAGAACCTGTTTGAAGAAATAATGGCAGAAAACTTCCCTAACCTGGTGAAGGAAAAAGTCACACAAGTTCAGCAGGCACAGAGAGTCCCAAACAAAAAGAATTCAGAGAGGCCCAAGCCCAGACACATCATAATTAAAATGCAAGAATTGAAGAAAAAAAAGAGAATCTTAAAGGCAACAAGAGAAAAGCAATCCGTTACCTACGAAGGAGCTCCCACAGGCTGTCGGCTGACTTCTCATCAGGGACTCTACAGGCCAGAAGGGAAGGGCATGAAGTATTCAAGGTAATGCAAAATAAGGATCTGAAACCAAGACTACTCTATCCAGCAAGGCTATCATTCAAACTAGATGGTGAAATAAAGAGCTTCCCAGACAAAAAAAGGCTAAAGGAGTTTATCACCAGCAAACCAGCATTGCAGGAAATGTTAAAGGGACTGCTGTAATAAGAAGAAATAGAGAAACATAGGCATAAAGAATTAGAATGGCAATAAATAAGGACCTATCAGTAGTAACCTTAAGGACGTTAAGGGAGAGATCAACAGCAATACAGTCATAGTTGGGGACTTTAACACCCCACTGACTTCACTGGATAGATCTTCCAGACAAAAGGTCAACACAGAAACAGTGACTGTAAATGGCGCACTAGATCCGATGGATTTAATTGATATTTACAGAACATTTCACCCCAAAGCTGCAGAATATACATTCCTCTCAAATGCACATGGGTTACTCTCAAAGATAAACCACGTTAGGACACAAAACAAGTCTCTACAAGTTCAAGAAAACTGAAATCATATCAAGCATCTCAAATCACAAGGGCATGAAATTAGAAATCAACTACAGTAAAATCACTCAAAAACATTCAAACACATGGAGGCTAAATAGCATGTTATTAAACAATGAATGGGTTACCAATAAGATCAAGAAAGAAAGAAAACCACCTTCCTGGAAACAAATGAAAGTGAACACACAGCCATCCAAAATCTATGGGACACAGCGAAAGCAGTCCTAAGAGGGAAGTTCATAGCACTGCAGGCCTACCTCAAAAGGCAAGAAAAATTTTCAGCAAACTATCCAACCCTACAACTTAAAGAGTTAGAAAGCTCCCCTGTGAAACCATCCTGACCAGGGCTTCTGTTTGCTGGGAGTTTTTTTTTATTGCTGCTTCGATTTCATCAGTTGTTATTGGCCTATTCAGGTTTTCTGATTCTTCCTGATTCAGTTTTACATGATCTCACTCATATGTGGAATCTAATAAACAAAACAGACTGAGGAACAAAATAGATCCAGGGACATAGAAGCATGGAACAGACTAATGAATCTCAGTGGGAAGGTGGGGTGGGGGAGTGGTTGGGAGAGATTAATCAAAGAACTTATATGCATATATGCATAACCCATGGACACAGACAATAGTGTGGTGAAGTCTTGGGGGGGGGGCGGCAGATGCG